TTTTTTATCGTTATGTTGCTTATTAGTTCTTGATTCAAGGAAGAAGTGTTCTTCTTGCATATGTGAACAAGTAATCAAGAAAAAGACATAGCCCTCACCAAAATGTAAAAATGGAGGCACACAAATATGTAAACAAGTATTCAAGAAAATTCATAATCCTCACAAAAAAATGTGAAAATGAAGAAGGCACACAAAATGCAAACAACTAATCAAGAAAAGACATAAAAAACCTCACCAAAATGTGAAAATGGAGGCACGAATTGGCACGGCCCGACCGGCATGTCGACCAACTCCTTAATCCTCGCCAGCTCGGGCTTGTAAACATGCGAGTTCCCCTCGTTCGACAACAAATCATCGCACCTGAAAATCTCCCACATCGGCTCGCATGACCCCACAAACACCGCATAAACCGGCCGGTTCTTCTCTTTCCTTCCGCTCCTAACGAGCAAATTAGCCACCACCAAATTCACCTGCAGCCTGAAAACAACATCCTTACAATGCTCGACTCCTCCGGCCACCACCACGTCCAGATCCCGATAATCCTCGAACCTCGGCATCGGCATGCCGGGGCATGTCGAGTTCTCGTCTATCCTCTCGGGGGCTAAGTGGGCCCACCTCACACTTTCGCCCACTCGGTCGAAATCCACTCTCAGCAGCTTCGCCTTTGTGCTGCGGACGGGTGGGCCAACATTCACCAGTCCCACATTGAAAGACTCGTCTTTGAACTCGCGCGCGATGGCCTCGTACCACTCGGGGCCCGTACTTTCGTCGGTTTTCTCGAACCACTCGTCTCGGCCGAGCTGTAGAGTGTCGTAGCTGACGGTGAAGAAGATGTAGTTTGTGATGAGGAAAAGAAGGCCGATTAAGAGAATGACGAACGGGAATTTGAGGCGATTCCATTTGGAGGAGGAGGAGGAGGAAGCCATTGTTGAGGAGCTATTTTGAAGCTGGAAAACAAAAAATAATAATAATAATTCATTTAACAGCAAAAAGGGGCAGGATGTGGATTAGTGCACGTTGGTATTTTTGCACATTTGGTAACTCAATCTCTTTTCATTATGTATGTCAAAAAAGTTAACTTTGTCAGTTTAAGTTAAAGACTGATATGATCTGTAACTGTAACTGTAACTTACCAGATTAATTTGCTGGATTTTTTTAGATGATTTTGTCATTAGTTACATATTCATGCACATGAGTTATTCACTGCCCAAGATTAGAGCAATTATTAGGACAACACATCAAATACAAAAGATCAAACACCAAACCACGAAATTCATTCTGTATCGAGTAACAAGTAGTTGATTCACACCTATGAAAGGAATCGTGCCTTTGGCTGTAATCTCCAACCGAGACGCATTGGATGCATGCCTGAAATACCCTTTTGGCCATGATTGCATCAAGAACTACAGTCTTAACAATAGCAACATGAATTCCTCGTGAAATTTGAATCCCTTTTGAGATGCATTTTTTGCACCATTTTTTTACTTGTAGCTCCTTTAACATAGACAATGGTATCCTACCATGTCGCTGTCCAGGCAGTCGAGCAAGTTCATGGCTTCAAATTCATCGACCCATGTAATCGTTGGGCCACGTTAAGCCCGGAAAGGCCAGCCATGCTGAGCCTGGTAGGCCCGCCACCCACGACAGCTACATCTACTAGCAGGCCAGGCACGAATTCGAGATTTTTGTTCTTGGCTTCACGCAGTAAGTCGAGCAGGGTATATTGAGTTGGCAGTTGCACAAACACTTGTGTCGATTTTCTTGAGCTTTGGCTCTGAGTGTGTGAAGCTTTAATGAGGTAAAGGCGCTAACTTTAGTAGATCACATTGCAAAAATTATCAAACACCAAAATCAACACAATTCGTAATTCATTATATTAAATACTTATATTACATTGCCATGAAGCGTAAAATAGCCGAACTATGTATTAATTTTTACAGGACACATTGCACGGTGAATAAAAATTCCACAGGTTAAATTAAGTTTAGTCGACACAAACTTGACAAATCCAGCAGCAACACAACACGAAGAGGCTGCAAAAGGCAAAGCAAACCTTTCCATTAGTACAAGTATATTTTGTATATATCATAGCCTCGGTTTTGCAATGAAGCCAACAGTTGGCTCCATAGTGTAGCCAACCTTCTATATACAACAAGTAAACCTACCATATTCTCTAATTACATAAATAACACTAATATAATTTTATTAATATGATATCGTTTATTTGCTGTATAAAGAAGGTTGACTCCACTATGAGGCGACGTTATAGCAAAACCGAGCATAGCCTATAGTTTTTTAAACCTAATTTGTTATTAATTACCATCTGATTGACTTTTTTGGAGGAATTTGATAAAAAAAACGAAAGTAATTAATTTAATTTACCATCCCTCTATGAAGCCCCTGTCTCCTTTTGCCTTTGCTCTTGGCCACAAGCTGTTTTTCTTTTTCCCAAATGGTGGATTGTTTGTTGGGTATCCTTCTGCATGTTATTACAAAACAAAACCACATTTTTACAATTCTTCTTTCATCTTCTCCTTTTCGAACTTATTTGCCTAAGGTTACATGACCATATATACTTTTTTCGTGTCTACTTTCAAACTGAAACGTCACTCTAAATTCCACCATAAATCGAAACACGACATTTTATAGCACAAGTATGCATATTTCATTACTTACAGCAAAGGAAATCACCTTAATCCATAAACACACACACACACATACACACACACAAAAGTATTGGCAAAATTGCATTTTATGTCCTGTAAGTGGGTATCTGGCAATTGTGGACAACTTCTTTTTGGTTTGGCAAAAATGCCCTGAAACTTGTTAAAACCCGAAATTCGTACTCAATTTTGGCACAAATTTCGAATTTTAACAAGTTACTGTCCTATTT